CTCCAGGAGTTTAGATAATCTGGCACTCTGAGACGGCATATGGAAAAACTGAAGCTGAGGAGCTGTGTGTGACTAGGGTGTTTAAATCAAGACCTCTGAGGAGGGGATAAAATATCTCTCATGAAATGTTTACATTCACAGTATTTCTTTACACCGTAGCTTCATCTGCTTTTCGAAGGCTCACTCTGTGCAAATAAGATTTAAGTATATGACACGGTTTGTGTGAAGACCACTTTGTATTTCCAAGCAAACCAATCGCTCCCCATGCAAAGATACATAGATCTTTTAATAAGTTTGTACAAAGCGGAAGGCGAAAGGTTAAGTTTGTACTTTCTGTGTTTTGCAGTATATCCAAGAAGCAGTACTTACCGAACATATTCCTTCAGGACGTAATTGGTCTCGCTACATCTGTAGAAAGGAAAATTCAGATTGTTGTAAATCAGGATAGAAAAAGAGAAAACATCATATTCTTTCCCATAATGATATTTAGTTCATGCCCGAAAACCACATCCTTCACATTGCATCTGGCTGCTTGGTCAATGTTAAACCATAAACCACACCAGCGACTCAGCACTCATCAGTCCACCCATCTGCATATAATTACAGATACATAGAGGTTGGCAGAGAAAACTTGCTAACTACTTTAAATCATCCTCGAATTGGCAGCAGTTATAAGCGTTGGGTTTGAGTAGATGCATGGTCAGGTCATTATATGTCAGGCTCAAAATACATGATCAAATTCCTTCCTGTCATCATGTCTTACTATTTGGCAGTGCAAACACAATATCTAGAGCTCTGACAGCGCTATTTTGTAAGTCTCTTGTGCCAGGACGGTCACCAAGGTAACAGTAATAAAGATTTAGGATGTTCATTATTCACAAGCTTGTACAGACGAAGTAAGCTCAGTTCAAAATTAAATGATTTTTTTACTCAACAAAATGACAATTTAGGCTAAATTGATTTGTCCCTGGCTCCAGTTGTAATGCTGAGCTTGAGTACCTGGAGTATTTTTGTTGCTGTACTACCTGTGGTCAAATAGAAACTACACGCACAAGCTAAATGAAGCCGTGCTAATGCAGCTCTTAGGAAATGCTTATTAGCTTTAATATATGAACAAATGACTGTGACGTACTACAGTTTGCTATCCACACAGGGAAGAAATTCAGTTGAGTTCTGTTAGACCTAGTCTCAACCTCAGGTGGTAAGTGTACGTACAGCCACAATCCGTTTGCTGTCTGTCTGATTTGATACATATTGTACACAAAAATAGCAAGCACTGACTGAAACAATCAGTTTCAATCTGACTGGTTGGCGGTAACCTGGCAAACTTTAAGTCATCTTATTTCATCTTCAAAAGCATTCATTGTATCAACCCAGCATCAAGTCTTTGAAAAATGTTCAGTTTTGATTTAGGCACTTAAAAGCAAAGGGTTTTCAAAAACATTGATGCCAAGAACCCACAAATATGGTAATCCCCTTGCAAAAAAAAAAAACAATAATTAGTACCATTTAGGTAATATGTACCTTTAAGGTACCAATATGCACCCTTTAGGGGAAAAAGGGTACAAAGGTGTACATTTTGAAATGGAGTGAAGCAATAATTAGTACCATTTAGGTAATATGTACCTTTAAGGTACCAATATGCACCCTTTAGGGGAAAAAGGGTACAAAGGTGTACATTTTGAAATGGAGTGAAGGGACTCCCTTTCCAAAATGTATAGACAGCTGTACATTTCCATGTGTAAAGACCTATTTATTCTGTGAGAAAACATGAGACATTATGAAAAAATTTAAAATCAAACTACTAGAATATGATCTGAAAAATATTGACTTACATTTAATGTATCTTTTTTACCCATTATTAGAGTAATGTTATATGTATTAACCTGAAGACAAACATTTGAATTCAATTCAGTTTTTTGTATAGAAATTTTCACAATAAATATTGTTATTAATCAATAATTTTACAGTCCTAAAAATATATTTTCAATAAACACTCTAGTACCCTCTTAAACAATATTGGGAGTCCCTGAACCCAAGTTTAAAAACCTCTGAATTTCATAAACAAAAATGTATACAAAAATATATGAGTTATGCCTATGAAATTCTGATCACAAAGTCTCGTATTAGCTGCAATTTGTTTATTTATTTTATTTATTTATTTGCCACATGCCACAGCTTAAATGGGCCAAAATTAGTTCTGAGTCCACTTTGAAGGTCAGAGACAAATTTTAAAAAACTGGGTCTTTTTTTCCTAAGCTCACTTTTGAGTTAACTTAAATGGATCTGATTTTTTTTTTAAATGAGTGAAAACAACCTCAAATCTAAATTAAACCGATAAAGAGATTAAGAAGCAAGTAGAGATATTAGCTGCTTAAAACTAAGTAACTTGATTCCATCATATATACTGCAAAAGAAAGGGCGCACCTTTCAGCCCATGCAAAGCCAGTACAAAGGAGATGGTAAGCAGAACCTCAACAGACCACAATAGAGCCGTAAGAGCCTGGACCAGACAGGATAATGTTCCTCTAACACACTTAGAGCAATTGCTTTAATTATACCTCCCTTGGTGTTTGACGCTTTGTAGAGATCAGCATGGTTTAAAGACACTTCATTCAGTTTCAAGCTAACACACCAGCATGCATCTGCTCACAGGACCTCCCGTGGCAGATCTCTCCTGAGAGCAGTTTGACGTCTCCCTCACCTCTAAACACAGACGCTCTTCTTCCTGTCCCGCATATGACACTGTCCTGTTTATCAGCTTTAATTTCACTCTGTTGTCTCTGATTACTGCTATAATTGAGCTGTCCTGTCGCTGAACCGACCCAGTGGGACTTGTATGTAATCAGCCAGGTGATCCCACGGGCCTCTCACAGTCTGTGACAACTGCTACAGATGCCTGCGGCGCTCTCCTGCTCACCTGTTCCACAAGCCGCATTGTGTCCCACATCTAAAGCATTCATGCATTGGTTTTAATTGTTAATTAGGACTTGTAATTGTTTATTAGGACATTTTCCTTAGCAAGAACATTTAGTATGGTGGACTCAGTGAATGATACAGGTATATCCCATGTATAAAAGCATCTGCTAAATAAATACATGTAAATGTATACAGCCTAACGTTACCTTATTATGTAAAATATCAGGTAACTCGAAAAATCATGTCTCAAACTATTTTCCATGTCTGTGTTCAAAATCTAAAAGCAACTTGCCTTGCTACCCCAATTCCCGGTCATTTAACCACTAAATAGGCAGAGTTTTGTATGTGAAAGTACCTACTAATTTATACTAGAAACATTCGCGCGCGAACAGTGGCGTCATTTGAACATGGAATGGGCTTTACATTTAACCAATCAAATATTTAACGACTTATATGCAGTCAAAAGTTGCTTAAAATACATTTTAAAAGTGGACATTGTATAAATGTGCTCTATTCAGCTTCTCTATCAGACGGCATTTTATTCTTCAAACAAAAACTGAACTGGACTGGATTCAGATGTCCTTTACTTTTCTTTCTCTATGTGATACCTGTAAAGGTATAATTTTTCAGGGTTTGGGAGACAGTTCTTCTGTTTTCTGTGCAGGCTGTTTGTCTGATGATCAAGCAGGCTTGACTTCACATTATTACACTCTGGAAGTATACAGTCACTCACTGGCCCTTATTTTCTGCATGATCTCTGGCCTTGGAAATATCACATTGCCCCAGGCTTTCCCTGTATGAAAGGAGAAATGAATCCTCTCAGCTGTAGAGGGTGGTTATTTTTAGAATGCTGAATGGAGTTGCAGATACACCATATAAAGCCAGATAGGCTACTGTTTCATTTTAGAATGAAAGGAAGCTGGCCACTAAAATAATTTGTTTCCAAAAATTCCATACACTGAGCTTAAGATTGTACAATTTCACATATATTGATCTCTTTTCTCAGAGGATAATGCTTCATATGGCCCAAAAAACATGGGTCAAGTGTGCAAATACAACATGCAGGATCTTAACTAGCTTTAATACATTATCCAGAGTCATTTCTCTAAAGAAAATCAGTTATTTGAGCAAAGTTCAGAGGTAAATCTATTTTCTTTACAGTTCCTTAGCAACCAAGAACTTATTTGCATATAATTGTAAAAGGATGAACAAACACTTTATTTTTATTATTATTATTTTTTAAAGCAACCGTTCACTTTAAAGGCCAATAAGTGGGCATATTGAGCTTTGAAGGCCAATGCATTTCCAACATGTGTTGGTTCTCTGCATAGTTTGCTTTTTTTGACACACAATAACTATAGTTTCTTAAACCTTTGTGCATATAAATAATGACAATAAAATGCTCTAATTACATGTAGGGGAAAAAAATATTTTATGTCTCATCAGGCCAATTGAGGTAGAAAGCAGGAAATTGCTGAAATGCATAGTGTGGAATAGATTTCAAACATTGTCTGGCTTTCCCGAAAGTTCAGGGGGGGAATAGAACAAGGCGCAAGATATTTAGAGGCAAATCAGTGAGAACACTAGACACCATTCAACACCATGTCACTAAGGAATCCTCCTCAAGCCTATTCTTGTTTAAACTGGCCAATGCCCACGAGCATGCACTCGCTCATTAATATTCATTGACTCCTGAGTGTAATAATAATGATGGGCAAATGTTACCATTTCTATCCCTCACTCATAGAACAATCAGTTATCAGAAATCCCTGTATGCCTTGGTATAATTCTCTGTTTAACAAGGATTTGAAAGAAAACTGTGCGGGTTTCTTAAGGCTCAGCTAAATCATACAACACTGGGTTAAAACAAAGTGCTGGAATTTGCTGCAGAAGAATATTTGCACACTGATAGTTAAATGGAAAGCAGGAAATGCTATTTCAATTGTATTATCACCTGGAACACCTTCGAATAAATACCATTGGCCCTTGTATCGTAACCCACTGGATAATCTTAAAACAGAATACATTAAAAAAACAGCAGAAGATGTTTCTTACAACAATGACAGATTTATTTAATCATTTATTTGAGCTGCTCCAGCAAGTGTATTTACAAATAATGGCATTTGAAGATATAAAAACGTGTCATATCATAACGCAAATCAGCACTGGACCGTCAGAGACGTCATAGCAAATGTCTAATATTCACGCAACACAGCCAAGAAGCTAAGGAAATGGTGGTTTAGATATCATGGTCTTCACAGCTCTATGAAGAAGCAGGTGTGGAAAGAATGAAGAAATTATCTCTAACACTGAAGATATATTCTCTGGGACAAAGAGGATGAGAGAATACAAGAACACAACTGCCTTGTGGTGAAAAACCCAGGTTCAATGAGACCTCATTCCTTTGACCTCGAATTCTCAACAATTGGGAGTTTTGCATATGGACAAAAACAGACACTGGAGTCGTTTTACAAAAATAATGTTTCCTGAATTAAACCTACTAAAACTGGCCTTCTAGGTTTGTTCCCATGACAATAAACGGATGTGGTGCAACAACAGAACATTGCAGACTTTAAAATATTCCACAGGAGACTTAAAAAAAGATGTAGATGGGTTATGATTTAGCAATGATAGTGCAGTGGTGCTTTTAAGGATGGACCAGCACACATTCCTAGCTGTCTTTATGAATATTGAATCATTTAAATAAAAAAGCACATTTAAAAAGTATTCTGTCTGCAAATGCATTTATCTCCAGAAAAAATATTAACAAGTGTATCTGATAATGACTTTCTGACTGGATTATTTCTTAATTCCTCATTTATCTCTTATTTCTTTCGTACCAGTGGTTCCAGTGGCTAAACAACGTATGGATACATAGCATCCATAGGATCCATGTGCCCCTGTGTTATCATTTTAAAAGAACCATAGTAGCTAGCCAAACATAACCACATATCGTAATAAAGTCAAAAGCTACGTTTATGTTGGTTACAAACTGTCGATAAGTAGATGCGAATGAAAAACATGAAAAACATTCAAGAAAGGAAAACCAGGACTGGGGCAAATATTTACCCTGTTTTGTGTCTGTAAAGGCCATTACTATTGTTCCCAGCAGGAGATCTCATCTTTCTCCATCTCTGGCCAAGTTCACCAGAGTAACGCTAGCCCGCAGCTAAACTGGACACTGCGCTCCTCCCGTGCTGCTGTCGATTTTTTAATTTTAATTTTTTATTCCAGAAATAACCCACATGAGGCCTCGCAGTATGTGGTCTGCGTGCCAGGCACTTTGGACAACATCAAAGAGCCTATTAAATCATGTTAGGGTGCCAGCTGCCACCGGGGTGGAAGCAGCGCTCTGCTACTGTTTCAGTAGATCCCAGATGAGCGTTTAATGCGCACAGCTCCTTATTTAAAAAGTAAATAAATAAAAACGGCACGGTTGAAATGCACTTTGACAAAAGAAAGTGTGAGAATTCGTTTTGCGGATATAAGAAAATATTTTCATTACTTTTACTTCATGCTTAGAAAAAAGAATAATTGAAAACGTCTTTTTTAATTTTTTTACATAATTAACAATTCAATTGGCAAGGTATGAACTCATTTTATTGACCGAATTAAAATGTTAATGCTGTATTACTCTAGGCTAAAAAGACAGGAAGCATTTACAAAATGAATGCAAACCATTTCCTCCCTCTTCTCCATGATAATGGACCCTTTTAAGGAGCGACGTGACCCCTGACGGACATGATATGGAGACGTACTACTGTTTTTCCCCCTGATATCATTTCAAGGATTGACTTGCTAAAATATTAACACGTTACCATAAGTTATTCTGCAATGCAGTTGTTATTCGTCTAAATCAAGTTAAGAGGACCGCAACTAGGCATTTTGTGTTCCTTTCTCCTGAATCCTGGCTGATGACTAGTACAACAAAGTGTCAAGAGCACTAAGAATGAACAATAAATAAGAAAAGGATGATTCACCAAACAAATTAGTATATTCACTCAAACGATCGATCAGTGATGCTCCGTACTCCTCTAACAAAACATCGATTTTGGCAGCTACACTTGAGCATTTTACTTCAAGAACACCACATCTGTGTTTCAGTCCCATATACACCTGTACACAATGTACAAAACGAGTGCTTATCTTTTTCTTTTATCTACGAAAACGCTTCAAAAATGGTCACTGTTCACCTGAGCACCTGAGTCCACGCGGACTACTCCGGTTGAGATATTAAAAAGCTCCCTCTTTATAAGGGATGCTATCAGGCAACAATTTGCCTTGATATCTAGTAGAGTCAGCAGTTGAGTCCACAGTGACAACGTTTTCCCACAATGCACGTGGAGAGATCCCTCAGACAGTCCTCTTGCTCTGTTGCTCTGATTTCTCTTTTCTGGATGGCAACACTGAAAGCAGTCTTTGTGAAAAAGAGTCATTTATTTCCTCTGCTCCCAATTACAAGTCCCTCTCCAACATCACATAGGGGCACCGAAAGGACACGGACCTATTTTAGTGTGTGTGTCATAGTTTAGTGGGTTTTATATGTGTACAACAGAGTGTTTTTTTTTTCGTGGGGTGGGGCTTTTGTTCATTGAAAACCATCCAGTTATATCGCCAATGGATGAACGTCTTCCTATGCGAGAAACTACTTTTCAGCGGAGAGAAAGATCCCAATGTTTCTTAAAAGTGCTCGATCACGAGTCCTCCTGTGTATTTCAGGTGTGTCACCGCGTATGTGCGGGATGCTATAAGGAGGAGAGGGAAGCCAAAAGAACCAGCGCTGAGGCCAACAAGGGCCCTACAGTCTGAATGCATCCGGCGCCGTTGACATCACCTCTTGATGGTTCTGCAGATTCGTGACTCGTTCCGTCTAAATGGTTGAAAAAAAGGAAGATTAAAAAAGGTCTGTAATACCTGAGTGTACAAAAACATCTTGACTTTACTGATAGTTTTGAATATGGAAATACGAACCATTATTATCTTCTATAGAGTTAATGCTTCCATCATTGACCTTTACAACGCGGTCGTGACTCTTCTCGCAGTTGTCTGTGGGAGAAACATAAAACAGGGTGTTGTCAGGGTTGTGACATCATCTTTAACTCATTAAACTTTTCCAGCAGTGATAAACAATGCAATTGCAACCACGTTTTGTCAGAAGCCACACCAGGATCTCTCCTGAGGGGCTTGTAAAACTTACTTGAAGGTCTGACGAAAACTTTCAGCCTCAAGCAGCTCCGTCTCCCATTTTCACTGACTGTAGATGCTGTGGAAACATTTTAGATGGTCAATATTAGGTTCAATCGATCCATGCTGCACACTGTTTAATAAATCAAAGTCATTTTTTAGCTTTAGATATACAACAGGGTTCAACAATAAGGATTATTTTTTTACTGGCCTGGTCGAGCCAGTAGTGCAGATTTTTACATGCTCTGCCAACATTTTCATCTACATTTACATTTAGTCATTTAGCAAATGCTTCTATCCAAAGTGACTTACAAATGAGGTACAACAACAAGTAATTTATCATAAGAGCCAACAATATTCACAGTGCACAATGCTTCAGGTGTGATGTAGAGTAGCCCACAGGATGGATCTGTATTTATTATATGAAGTGCCTTTGTTTGGGGTTTGGTTTTGGTTTATTTTCCATGGTGATGGGGCTACTAAATCCATTTTTCAAGTTGCTATTAAGTAAAAAAAAAATCCTTTACATTTTTATATTTATAAAATTTATTAAAAAATATATATTTTTCACTGAACGCCAAGTTTAAATACAGTTAAATATAATTTGTGATGTTACTCCAAGTAAGCTATGAATACATGCACCACCTTTCTTTGAAAATGACTGCATACAGTACAAAACCATTTTAATTTGATTGATGCATCCAAAACAAATGATTAAATCAAGACAAAACCTCAACGTTAGCCAGCAGCAGTTAGATAATGACCATTATTGTTTGACAAGCTTTCCAAAATGGTGACAACGCAACAGCTCCCCTGGCTCAAGGCCACTAGGATCATTTATTTCAGGTTTAGTCTATTAGTATATCATCAGATGCTACCTATCTTAGTCGTTTGCGGCTTTCTACATGCAAAGGCCTCATTTAAATGCTTCCATCAGCCTCAGAGGAATGCACAATCAGCATTCATTTTGTTTCTTACTGATAGATGGGAGCGGTGCTACTTTGGCTTTATGTTTCTCTCCATAAAGAAAAGCTTATTAGCACTTTAAGAGGAACAGGTAGACAGCCTCTCTCTCCACTGTCCGCTCTTTATGCAGTTACGTAATGCAATCTTGCGTAGTCAGGAAGCGATGCAAATGAAGACCGGTGGGGTGAGGGGGAAAGAAGGGCTTGTTATTTTACCCACAGATCACACTTGACGTAAAGGTGACAAAGTAATGAGCAATGCAACGCACTTCAATAAATCCCCTCCTTCAAAGCCTCAAAGTAATGAGCACAGACTGCACAAAAAGCAATTTCCTTATAGCCAACACAATATGTTCTTGATAATTCAATTGGTGAGGCTCACTTGCATTGATGTGGACATGCATTCCACTGTGACGTTCCTGATGGAAAGAAATAGGGGTTGAATGTCTTGTTTTTCTGGTTAGATGCTTGAAATTTGGATTATTTGACAATATACTTCAGAATAAATAAGCTAAGACTAATGTCCACAGCACACATGCTCCATTAGTGGCAGGATGATGAATTAGTCTTTCTCTTTAAATTTGTTTACTGGCAGCAAATATTTATTGAACAACCTTATCTTGACCACAGACATCACTAACAGCAGTTTGTTTTTTACTGGACAGCAAATTTGTGCTAAACCTTTCCGAGATCTTTTCCTAACCCCTGATAGTTGTGACCTTTCCACAAGCCTCTTAGATGTAGATTGGTCCCTACATACATCAACACCTGCTACTTAAAGCTGTTCTGGCGGCTAACATCAACAGCTGCAAATGACAGATCACAGGCTGAAAGAACCCCCTGCCACTAAAAGCTCTGTAATCAGCTGTGATGATGCAAATGACTTCTGTTCAGTCCATAGACCATATCGCCAGTGACTGTGAACTGCTGAACCTTACACTGACTCCTCCCGTTCAAACCTCATGAGTTCACTATACTGGTTTTGTTGAGGAAATATATGGGTCAGTGAGTATAAGTGGCTATGATAAAGAAAAAAAAGGGTTTTGAAATGGCGAGTTCTCAGAAATGTACTTTTTATATTTATATTGGTATCAAATTATCTAATTTTCAATAAAAATCTCAGTTTAATGACACTAAAAATGTCACAAGTAGCAAGAAAGAAGTAGTAACATTTAATTCATATTTAATTTTTTAAAAACCTATTTCTTAAAGTATAATATATGTTACTATATATGCTATATATATATATATATATATATGTGTGTGTGTGTGTGTGTGTAATATTGTATTATTTAGCAAATAAAATATGTTTATATACACACAAACACACACACACACACACAGGTTTGTTTTTATGGTTTATGGGGACTCTCCATAGGGGTAATGGTTTTTATACTGTACAAACCGTATATTTTATTGCCCTACACCAACCCTACCCCTAAACCTACCCCTTACAGGAAACTTTGTGCAATTTTAGATTTATAAGCCTTTTGAATTACGGGGACAATGAAAATGTCCTCATAAATCACCTTCTCGTTGTAATACCTGTCATACCCATGTTATTATACAAATTTGTGTCCTCATAAACCACATAAACATGCGCACACACACACACACACACACACACACACACACACACATATATTACTTGGATAAATATATTATTCATATGCATTTAAGGTAATGTAAAGAAATATGTTTAATATGTACTTGTTACTTGGGACATTGAAAATTGTATAGAAAATTATATAAAAGTTATATGATATATAACTACAAATATCATGGACTGTTATTCCTTAAGATTAAGTTTTTAAAATATTTTACAATTTGAACTAACTTTGTCTTGTTATAAAAAGGTAAAAAGATCTGATATTTTAAGAGATTCATTGATCTTTACAGTCATTCTATTTAAGTCATGCATTTTGAAGTATTGAGTAAAAAAATTTAAAGATTTTTTAAAATGTGTCAAGTCATTGACCCATATATCTGTTTAACACTTTAAACCACCATGAAAGTGTGAAGATGAAGCTATAACAGGATCAGTTGCCTGTAGAGGAAAGAAAAAGAAACAAGAGAAAGGCATGTCGGAAGAAAAGAATTATACCACTTTTCCCCATTAGCTGGCTGGCTCATCTCTGAGCTTGCAGACATTCCCATAATGCACCATGGCTCTTCTAGCCTTGACCCCCATGATTCCCTGCTGCGTGGGGTCTCCAGCTGTACTTAATCTGCTGTCTCTCTTCTCATCCCCACACCCTCATGACTGCGGGGAGAGCTTAGGTTAAATCAATGTGCTTATGTGCTGTCTACACTGACATACTGGGGGCTTGTGAAACCTTAATCATGACCCCACAAGCATATTTCCTTTGATTTGGGTGAAATTGCTTTTGTCTCATTCCTCAAGTCTGGTCTAGTTTGGAAAGGGATCCCAGTGTTGATTGGAAACACTACTTCACAAATACGTTGTACATCACAACCTTATTGTCACTACTACCACAATAAATAACTGCTGAGCGTGAGTGTGCAAATGGAGCATTGTATAATGTAACATCAGTATTGTCAGTGCCATTGCTGCTCTATACAGGGATTCATGACTGATGACAACCACAGCAAACCCACAGAGTGTATAGCTTAATAACTATACACTACTAAATAATACAAATAAAACCGAGGACAAATACAAAATCTAATATAAAATAAAATAATAAAATAAAATAAAATATCAGCTTTTCGTAGCAGCAACATATACAAGATCAGTCTCCAAAGTTCAAACTGCTACCTGTCATATAAATGTGAAGATGACCCATTGTGATTTAGTCGTTCCAACTTTTCTTTTCTTGACGTTTAAAGGGACAGTTCACCCAAAAATGAAAATTCTGTCATCCTTTACTCATCCTCAAGCTGGTTGGTAACCAAACATGCTGGTCCCCATTGACTTCCATAGTATTTTATTCTGTACTCAACTGTTTGCTTACCAATACTCTTAAAGGGGTCATATGATGCGATTTCAAGTTTTCCTTTCTCTTTGAGAATAGATAGATAAGATCCCTAAAGTTGCAAAGACTAAAGTCTCAAACCCAAAGAGATATTCTTTATAAAAGTTAAGACTAGTCCATGCCCTCCTAAAATGCCTCGTTCAAACACGCCCCCACATGTCTACGTCACTGTGTGGGAAGAACAAGTATTGTTGCCACCGCCGCCGCCATATCTTGGAGATGCTGTGTGTTTCGTTGTGAAAGCGAAACTACTTTGTTTGGTCTTCCAAAAGAGGACACAACTAGAAATCAGTGGTTAAGTTGTATTTACAACACTGTTCCAGAACAGTTCAAATCAAATATTCAGATGTGTGCAGCGCATTTTGCAGAGGACGAGGACTGTTTACTGGGAGAGTAGCCTACAATGCCGGTGTTTTGGTGAATTCAGTTCCCATGTTTCCCCTTCGGCGAGCATGCTGACCCTATAAAGTCTATGATGCTGACAAATAATGCTGACTCACAGCCTGTAAGTACATTTTCATATTTAAAGGATTTGCCTCTGACGATTCAAACGCGAGTCTTGAGCAGTGTAGAGTAGCGCTTGTTGTTTGTCATTTCTCCGATCACAAATGCAGACATGGTTTTATGTTTACGCGGAGCGATGCAACGCAATTTTATAATTAGTAATTATAATCAGTAATTAAGTCCCCACTGGATGCAACAAATGCCTCATTTATAATGGGTATTATTGGTTTTGTCTCGTCGCGCCGGGACACGGCATCACAGTATGGTAAGGGGCATGACATTTCCGTCACACGCTTGAGGAATTCGGCCAATCCCAACACACTAGATAGCTGGCCAATCAGAGCACACCTCGCTTTCCAGAACGATGAGCTTTGTAAAAATCGACGCGTTTCAGAAAGGCGGGGCATAGAGGAGAAACAATAATTTACAGTATGTGGACACATTTCATTACACCAAATACAACCAAATACACAAAATAATGTTCTTTTTAGCAACGTCATATGACCCCTTTAAAATCATCATCTTTTATGATTCACAGAATAAAGAAACTCATGTTTGGAACAACTTGAGGGTGAGTAAATGATGAATGAATTTTCATTTTGGGGTGGACTATCACTTTTATCACTATCACAAGAAATATTTCACGTTTCTTTAGTAAACAGTTTTGTTCAAGGACAGGCTGTTACTCTTACAGTTCCTTATAAAGTTACCCATCATTGGCAAGTAACTCATTTACTCATCAAAGCCATTTTGCTTATAAATTGCACTTGACGTGTTCATTTTGGACCTTAATTACTGTAAATGTGACTGCCTGAATGCTCAATGCCAGTATGAAAGACACATCTCTAATTTCAAGGCTCTCGCTGAAATTTTTTAACATAAACGGTGACAATAATCAACAGTCTCGGCCGTATTAAGATGATTTCATGGGTGGCTTATTTGACAAACTCTCATTCTGTCAGTCATCAGAATTCCCTCGCTGTCAGCATGCGGCATGTAACTGACCTCTCATTGGCAGACATTAAGACTAGACTATTACAACAACTCTGCTTATTCAAAGACACTCTACACTGTCATGGCCCGGGCTGCTCATCCACGTCTCCTTTCCCACACGGCCGACACCAGATCCCTGTGTAGTTCTCCACCCGAGCCAGCCAGGGGCAATAAACCTCCCAGACACCACTATTCCAGCTATGAGTTGAGAGATCAGATGCGATGTAACCGAGAAGTCTGATAAATGAGGGAAAGATGGATTGATGCTCTGTCTTTGAGTTAAGACGCACACCTATCTATTTTCTCACGCATTCTTGAGTGCTTTGAGAGCGCTTTGTAATGCGGGGAATAGTTTTGGCTCAGGTAGCGACTACGCCACTTATAAGCAAACCGCAAAGTACAGGATTCTTATCAAAGCTACAAATCAGGTCTTGCTTTAAGCACAAAGTGGGAATGTTTCTGGTTTACCTTACAGCATTATGAAGATGGAGGGACTAGACTACAAATAGCAGTCGTGGGCTTTTGAAGCGGGCTCATATCAGACAGCCTGCACTATCGTTGGCCCCGCTCACGCAGGAGGGAGAGGCCGACTAAAAACCTTCCCTTGAAATTGGATTTCTATCCTCTGAGATTAAGATCAGACTTCCACACTGGCCATATTGGAAAAACATGCTGCCTAGAGCCGTTCAGGATTGTGAGTTCAACTGCAGCCATCAGAGCATGTTCACATTTGACCTGCAGGGCTGGGCCCTCTGATCCCCCTTGATCGCTTCCTGAGTGGTCCGGGCACGCTGACTGACAGCACAGAGCCCGCGCTTGTTACCCCTCTGCTCTCCTGGAGCGACCCCTCACTCAGAATGATTAGCAACCACACCAGCTAACAAAGACATTCTGTCTAACCAAATCATGACAGGCAGACATCAAACTAATGAAGAGAATGATTCAGGAAAACTTGGTTAAAATAGACTTAAAATTAATAGATTTTTTTTGCCTCTGGCTACATGATGTATTTTTAAATATATATACAAATATTTTATATACAGTATCAAATTGTGTAAAAAAATAAATGAATTAAATATAAAAACAGCAACTGTTTTTATAGCAAAATATCAACATACATTTTGTGAAATTATTTTCTAGACAAAATGTATCAAATTATACAAAAATGGCTAAAATAATAATAGAAAATGAAATGGTACATATTGTTAATTGTAAATAATACTGTACAAATTTTACAGTAAAAAATATCAATTTATATAAAAAAACAATTTATTTTTAATTACAATTTTTTCCCCTTAAATTCCTTATATTATAAGCTGTTAAAAAAAGAGAAATACTAAAGCAAAATAATAATAATAATAATATGCTATTTAAATTGTATTATTTTATTTAATTATGCATATACAGTGGTGTGAAAAAGTGTTGGCCCCCTTCCTGATTTCTTTATTCAAATAGCTTGGTATTACAATATATTCAAATATTTTCTGCTTTCTATTTCTAGTTTAAAACAGTTTGTGATATGATCAAGGTTACTGAAAGCCGCTGTCTACTTGAGATAACATTGTGCAATCACTCTAAACTGCTATGCTTCAACTTGAGCAGACTGGCATGCTGTTTATTTTGTTTCCTTTACTCGTAATTCCGTACAAATGGAGAAACTTCCTCTTCTCTTGAGAGAGCCCATAACAGTGGAATCATGACACTGAGTCACACAGTGAGACGTGTGTGCTATGAATCCTTGTTTTCCAACTCGCATTAACTGTAAAACCCCTCATAGTATCTGACAGCTCCATCACTTCAGTCGAGATGTTTCCCATCCTATTATTCTTACTCACAGGCCTTCGGGGAAAAAAAGTAAATTTTACTATGTTGCAACATCTCAGATAGACAACCACATTCATGCAAAACATCCATATCTCCTGCTGGGATCTAACCCCTAAATGCTATGTACCGTGCATTCCAATCTGTCTTTTTTCTCAGTCTCCATGTACTTATCCACTGTTTCTATTACTTCTCCCTCTTCATTCTCCTATTCCTTCCTTTCACATGTCATAAAAACATGTCCATCGTTTTATGCGCCCATGAGATAAGTCAGATCATCAGGTCGGATTCCGCCAAATTAAACGCTCCACATCTCCTGTGTGCGCCGGCATAAATGAACCCATCACGGCCCTGAGCAGTCCAAGCAGTCGGACCACTCCTGTGCCTTATTTTGTCTTCCCACTCCCGCCCTGTAGGGATCTGACTCCAGTTGTAAAAACATGGGTTTAGATGCTTGTTTTTAAGAACCCTCTCACGAGCAAACGAAAGTTGAGACTAGGAGTTTGTAACAAAGACTCTTTAGAGGAAAACCAAGATGTTTTTCCCTGAGGTTCATGTTTTCCTTGTAGCCTGTTTGCCAAGACTCCTGAAAAACAAAGTCATACTTGGCAATGCCTTCGTTTCCTTAATGCTCGTAATCAGACACTTGTCATAAAAGTATACCATTAAATGCAAGACTTGAGTTGCGTTATCCTCTGTGAGGACGCTAATACAACATCATTTTCCAGGCAATGCAACTTTTTCCATGTATAAACGGAAAGCCAATCTTACAAATCTATTTAACATGCACAGCGTCTGGTTTTGGATATAAAAATCATAAAACATCATTGATATACAAATCACTTCAACACACACAAAAAAGAAAGAAAAATCAACATGATACTCACAGATATAGTAATATTCTCTGCCTGGCCGAAATTCAAATCCTAGTGAGAATGGTGTGAAAAGCTGAAACTTCTCAGAGAACTTCAGCGGGCCGTTGGGCGAGTAGGGCCGGTTACACTCCCAACGCTTGAAACCTTTCGCCGTGTGGTCGCAAGAGCTGTAGCCATCGTAGTTGACCATGTAGAGGACGTAGTGCTCCGTTTTCTCCTCAGGGACCGTGTCAATGTCGTGGGGACAGTATACGTCCAAATAATCGTTAATGCATACATCAATGTGGTAGTCTCCTCGGTAGAACCTGTGACAAAAAGAAAAGCAAGAGGCCGCAGTGAGTATATATGATATGAAATATTAGCGATTCAGTTACTCTCATTCGTATGTTTTACGAGCCATCGAGGCCCTACTTCACAGAAAGGCCACTTCTGGAGGAAGCCACTTATTTGAGAGCAATTACCGCAAATGTGAAAGCACGTAAATCATCCAATCCGAGTCCGCTAGGGCTCACTGAGGATCACAAGGAAAATTCATAATCCTGTCGTTGACGTGGATGCTTTAAATACGCCTGAAAGAATGAGTTTTCCATGGGCGAGAGATGACAGCTTGAAATATGGCACTCCGAGGAATGTTTTAGAAGAAAAAATGTGCATCTCTCGTGCCAAAACGGCCAACTATTCCAGATTTACATCTAACCAAATGTGAATGTCAATGGAATGTGTGCGACATCATTTCGACAAGAAAGTGATTTAAAAAACATAGACTCCCATAGGCTCCATAAAAGTTTAGTGAAGATGGATATGCTCAGGTCAGCTATGTTTAGAGTCAGTGCAAAAAATATTATATTTACACCAAAAATGAGCGAACGTGGGCAGGTGACTGGATTAAACGCGAAGGACTCCCAGGATTCGGTGGGAATTTTCAAGGTGTAAAGCTAGTGGACACCCAGCAGGAACCCTGGGGAGAGCCAGATGAGCTTCCAGGCTAATATGAGGTTAGCATTGCGATCCTGCTGTGGACAGAAGCACAGCTGGGCACACTGACATAAAGATTTCCATACATTACGGACAATAAAATCTATTGAGAGCAGATGGAGCTCGAGACCTATCAGATTATCATTATGTGGATTTCAAACGCACTGCTGGAATACTGAGTTTCCCTGTAGGTTTGGCCAGCTTGGCGGTGGTTTGTGTGCAGAGTGTGTGGATGTGTATAGATGCTGCTCAAAATCTGCAAGCACTAGGGCTTTTTTGAACAACTATTGTTTACTACTCTTGGGAGCTACATCATTTGAATGGAAAGCAAAATCTCAGCTGTGAAAAACATACTTCCTGAGTGATCACACAGTCCAATGTTTCCAACTCAAAATCTGGCATTTGAAAGTGTGTAACATGCAAACGTCTTTTTACTTTGTCATTGGGTACTGGCAAAAACAAAGCTATTTCCTTATTTAAATTTACTGGCTTCTTGTGTTTCCTGTCATCTTTTAAAGTGGAATGATTCAGTCTAGTATTGACAAAATTCAACACAGTTCTACAGTTTTCCAAAACTGGTGTCCAGAGCACTGGATCACGGAAAACATTACAAAACAAGAAAAACTTAGGTAATTTATTTAACACAAATGCATTAGCTTTAATAAACTAGCATTTATAAATGTTGGTTAATTAAAATTTTACATATACCAGCAAATATTTTACATTTCAAGTTATTCCAAACCATTTGTTACACCACAAGTTTGAGGTGGTGAGATTTATTGTTTTTGACAGATGTATCTTACAAAAATAATGGTGTTCTATTTTACAGTATTTTAAAATGTAATTTATTCCTGTCATGGCAAATCAGAATTTTCAGAAGCCATTCCTCTAGTCTTCAGTGTCACATGATCCTTCAATAATATGCTAATTTGGAGTCAAAACATTACTTATTTTTATTAGTGTTGAAAACCGTTGTGCTGCATAATATTTTTGTAGAAACAATAATACATTTTTTGAAGGATTCTTTGATGAATAGAAAGTTCAAAAGAACAGAATTTATTTACTTTTGTAACATTACAAATGTCATTTTTGATCAATTAAATGCATCCTTGCTGTATTAATTTCCCATACTTTTGAACTGTAGTGTAATTTTATATTATTTAAAGTATTATGGACAAACATGAATTGACAATAAACAATATCAACAGTATATTTACATTATCTGCTGCACATTATTGTTAGTTCATGATACCTAATGCATTAACTATTGTAAACAAATTGGCCCTTACTTTAGAGTGTCACCCTTTTTTCATTCATCGTCTTAAACTAAGTTAGTCTAAATTAGTCACAAAATAGTAGAGTCGTGGCTCTATCAACGCAAAGGTCATGGGTTAATTTCACGTGAATGCGTGAACAGATAAAAAAAAAGAAGTTAATCTTCAATGCAATGTAAGTTACTTTGGATAAAAGCATCTGCCAAACACATAAATACACTGTGAAATGTGATTTGAGTCCAAGCTCATGTCCTTTCACCTGTCTATCATGTGAAATATCTCTGCTAGATGATACTAAATAACTATTTCCCCTGGGTCACAAAGTTAGAGGACCAGACAACAACATATTAGCTCTCTGGACAACAACACCTAAAGGCAACAGAGTGCTTTTCTATGTCCGTGTCAGAAAAATCAATCAAATGCCACCTCAGCATTTCATTTTCAATATGTATCAGATGAGCTCCAGTGGGTTATAAAGAGATTTGACCCCATTAAACCCAATAACAGACAAACAGCTCATCAATGTTGGGCTTTCTTTCATGCGCTTGAAGAGCGATGGGCCAGCTGGTCAATAAACCACACAATGCTGTGCCAATTCATCATTAGGATTAAAAAAGAAGCTCATTAGCTGTTTCTATCAAGGCTACTAACACAAACATGGCACATGGCTGCATCAGAACAAGTCCTACAACAAAAACCTCCCATAACGATAATCCTCCTATTCAGTTGATTCTCTCCATCGCTCTTTCTCTACGTGTTCAAGCAGAGGGTTATGGGTGATGACCGGGCAGACCTGAGTCTAGAGAAAGGCAGGACACCGGGAGGCAGAGGGCTCATGGAATACATGATTAAAGTTGGTTCATCCCAAGGTCAGACTCCTCAGACTTAACAATGCAATGAAAAATGAAGGAGGCTCTTTACTCAAGAATTTCCAATGGAAGCCAATTAAATCAAAAGAACTCTAAGAAGCTGGCATTTATTTTCCCTAGAACTGAAGAAATGGGCAAAAATATCAAGCTGACATAGACATGCCTCAGGACAAAACATCATTACTGTTTTTTAATGGGAAAACTCACCAAAATGACAATTCAAATGCTCCAACATTCCAAACCTCTATGACTTTCTTTATTATATGGAACACAAAAGAATACATTTTGCAGATGTTGTTTTGGACTCCATTGACTTAATTGTATGGACAAAACATTTTTTCAAAATATCTCCTTTTGTGTTTAGAAAAAAGAATGTCTTACAGGTTTGGAACCACATGAGGGTGAGTAATTTTGGGGTGAACTATCCCTTTAGGCGCACCCCCTTACAAATTCCTGCAGAGGGCGCGCTTGAGGCAATGACTGACGTGACTCCCAGGGGTGTAGGTCAGCTAAGCCTTGAGCCCTCCAGGCCTTTCACAGTGGCACAGATGGAGGATCTCCTCCTCGGGTTACAGCTCTCGGGCCAGCCGTGGAGCAGTTGTCCCATCATTCAGTGGGGAGGCAACAGTACATCTCCCAACGCCTCAGATATCACTCATTCACCCCTTCCAAAAGAATGTCTGCCCAGAAGCATTAACATCACAGACAAACAATGGCCTGCCAGGACTTCAAGCTGTGCTGGCTTGGCAAACGCCTCAAAAGACGGATGAAGGTGAAGGAGGGGAGAAAAAAAGGCATATAAGAGCCACCTCTCTGTGAGTTTCCCATGGAAAACACTCCTTGTGAAATTTTCTTGAAGAGACAAGATATATGGTTCTCTACATTAAAAACATATTGGTGTTTGTGGGAGGCATGTCCATATTTCAGAAACATTGGAAAAGGACATTCAGCAGTAGATTAGAAAAAAAAGGCTTGGGTTTAGGTATAGATATTTGTGGACGGATGTGTGGATAGAAGAAAGCAACCGAACATGAGTGAGTGAGAACGGGACTATCGGTCTTGGATGAGATTGTACTTGTCTAACAAGTATGATATGTGGAAAGTATTCACGATGCCACAGGTTAATCGTTCCGCTCTTGTGTCGTTGTGATTAGTGGAGTGCCGTATGGTATATGTCACTCATCAAACAATGGTTAATCCTATGGGTTCATAAATACACACAAACAAATGTATCTAAACGGCTGACCTTCATATCTGGCATTCACAATCTCTCAATTCAACTTGATTCTGATTTTGATTCATTTAGATTGAGTTCTGATTTCTTTTGGGTATATTTCAGTAATGTCAGTTTGGTTACATATGTAAAAAAAAATCTCAGTGTTCAGTTTTTAAACAATTAAAAAAACAAAATAGTAATTTTGGGGGGAATCAGGTTACACTGGTGGAAAAAACGTAAACATAAATATTCAAAAATGAATTCTGTGATCATTTACTCACCCTCATGTCATTCTAAACCTTCTGCAGAACAGAAAATATTTATCTGTTCTATCTGTTCCACAGAAAAAAAAGCATACAGGTTTGGAATGACATGAGGGTGAGTAAACGAACACAGAATTTTCATTCTCAGGTGAACTGTCCCTTTAAGAATCAGTATTGAGAATGAGAAAATCAGTATTTTTACCCAACCCTAGAAGTGTCTGTATTAATGTGGGCTTGGCGAAAGATTGCATATGGGACACCCTGTGGCCTTGTGAACTTCATGGACGAGTGCAAGCAGACATACTACTTATAAATACCATGCTTGTTTAGATTGAAAATCTCATTATCTTGAGTGGATCCTCTTTACTGCTGCAACTGAATATTGAGTAGATGCTTTACAGATCTCAAATAACTAGATTGACATGAGTGCTTGGCACCAAATATACTCTAGTGTCCTTAATGCAACATTGAGACCACGTGAGGTCAGAACTAGGGTCAGAGGTCATGGATCGGCCATTATTAATGAAGGCCTCCATATTCAAAAGAGAACGAATAGAATGACAGCGTGACCCTGGGGTCGTTTATCTAGTGAGTGTGTGACATGAAATTTATACACCGAACAAACAAATGCGAAGAACAAATTATTTGTTGAGAAAAACAAACAAGCAACAGCTCAGCAGCACAAGCAAGAGAGAGGAAAGGGTAAGAGTCAGACTACG